CAACACCGGCCCTTTTCAGGCCCACAAAACTCCCAGTCACTAAACATATCATCTGATGCTCTCCTGTGTCCATTCCTTTGAGACTTTATAGGATATTGTAAAGACCGTTTCCGGGATCGTATAGTCAATCCCCATTTCTATGAATAGGTGTCTGATTGTTAATTGTGGTCGTGCGCCCGAATTGTTTAGTCCAACAATCCAATTTGGTTGTTTTTGGAGCCTATATGAACTTTTCCTAGCCTCTCCTTGTATGAATGTATCCAGTGGAGGTAGGTTTAGCAGAAAGGGTTGAGAATCGGATTAATGCGGACTTTTTTGTTTTATTTGAGGTGTATACGAACCTGATTTTCTTACGAGTGGTGAATCACCCAGTATAAGATTGTTTTAGAAAACACCGGACAAAACTGGTCAAATTTGCTAAGATTGCAGTGAGAAATCTTTTACAGTATTTTTTTTCTTAACAATTTTCCATCCAGACTTTATATCTTGACAGTCTTCCATCTTGGTCTTATGAATGCATCCTTAAAACCTTTTTTTCCCCGACATTTGGGTCACCTCTTGCATTACTTTCACGTACGCTCGGAATTAATTATAAATAAACGTTACAAAAGTTTTTCCGAGAGATGGGGACGAGAAGATGCAATATTCCCGCCGAAATATTCCGTCGAAACTCCGTTCAACGGCCTGGAGATCCGTCACACCTCGACGACGTCTTGTTTCGCATCATCGAACCTGCCTCGGTTTTCGAAAAAAAACCGCATTCCATTTGCAATTTGGAAATATGAATTATTCTGATTACGCTCCGCGCATTGATGGAGAATCTGGTTTTTAGGTAATTATTACAACCCTGATCTGGATTGTAAAAATTTAATGAAATTGGTCTAATTGTTATAGAATCGTACATTTGGATTTGAAAAAAATTAACTTGTATCTCACCTAAAACAAAAATAAATACCCCCTGTCTAGCTTTTTGAACGTTTGTTGGATTAACTTCTTTAGCATAAATTTTATGAGCTATGTTATAAGCGTTCCCCTCGGGCAAAGCTATTCGAACAAACTGTTTTCCTTTCTCGTCATAACCAATTTCTTTTTAAAAATTCAATTAGTGAAACCAAGCTGCATTGAAGCCGATTAGGAAGAGATTTGTTTCTTAACTTTTCGTTCCCGCTCTGCTGACTCCCCTAGGTGAAAATTCAATTAAAGAAACCTGATCATAACTAGACAAAGATTTTGCACCGATGAGACGAGCAATAATTGGCGATTTGACGTTGAAAAAACTTCATACTCCCATATTACCTAACCTGTCCCTAACACTAACCTTAATCCTAACCATAACTAAATTCAAATCGTGGGAAATGATCAAGAGCACAATATGAGAACCAAAGAAATCCTCGGCACAGATCAAGACTTTGATGTCTGAGCTACTAGCTCACCTACATATAATGTGGAAGACGATAGCCCTATTCATCTAAGGAAAACTCATAGAATTCCTGTTCCAATTTTAACTGAGCGAGGACAACGTATTGTAACGAACTGAATCTGAAACCAAAGATATAATTTAATAAGCTTCCTATATTCAGGGTTGATTTGTGAAAGGAAAAACCCTAACCTTTACCTACTCCGTTCCCAGATCTAACCCTAACCCTACCAAATCATAACCCTAGCCGTAACTAACAACCAAATCATGGGAACAAACGAGGTCAAGAGTACAATAAAGGGAATCAAAGAAAATCTTCCCCACTGTCAGTTCAAGGCTCTAAACTGACCTAAAAATAACGTGGAAGATAATGATAGCACTATCAAACCATGGAAAACACACTACCTCGATTTTAACGTCCGCAAATCTCACGTAATACTAAATCTGTAAGCACAGTTGTAATTTAATATGTTTGCAATATTTAGAATTGATTTGTGATCGGAAGAAAATCCCCTAACCTTTCACTAATCCGGCCATAACTCTAACCTAACTAACTTAACCCTAATTCTACCTAACCTAATCATTCCTAACCCAACCCACGCACTCTACCTCAAAATCAATAATGAAAAGAAGTCATATTAAAATTATGGCAAGGACTTAACTTCTCAAGTGTCATAAATTACAAAATTATAACACCAGTGAGAATAATTACAAATTAATTTTCTACTTGTTTTCCCAGTTTATTGTTGGGCTCAACTAGTAACTAATTAATTGAAAATTGTGTAATAAGTAAAAAACTACCAAGACCCACTAAGCAAACAATTCCTTTTGTCACCATCCTTACAATTATCTTATCAATGAAAGATTTTTTTTTCAGAGTTCTTATTGAACCTTGGCACCAATAGAGAGCATGAAGAAACGCCATCCGATATGAGTAACCGGGTCCCCTGTTCGGATTATTGCAGGAAACAGGGTTGTTTTATTTTGTATAGGAATGAACTATCATTCGTGTTCCTAGTGTGTTGAAAGTGAATGTATTTATTAGCGTGGATTTGTGAGAGAGCCAATGGCAAATATTGAGTGCTCATCGACCCGTAGGTTAGTTATACAAAAGGGCTAAAGGCTGATGAAAGAATGGAATATCAAGTTCCTAACTGAGTGAATAGGAAATTGCAAAGAATGTATTTAAGAGTGAGTGAGAGTGGGAATGGGAGTCTGATTATGTTAGGGGATGAAATAACCTAGCTGTTGATAGTCCTGTAGCTCAGTCTCGCTGGTTATATGGATAAGGCCGAGGACTGACCCCGAACTGCCAACACCAAAGTTGGGTGATACTCAAGGCCTGCTGGTAATTTATTGTAAATCACAAAATTTCGAATTGCCGAAGTGCGAGAAGTAATAGGCTCAATTCTGTACATGCGTATGCGGAGATTTGAGCTTATACAAATCAGTAATCAGTTCTTATTGAGAATTTTCATAATGTTGTACTTATACTCGACTATGAGGTTAGTATTTCTTATACAAGCAGACAGACAATCATGATTATAACATTTCATGATCAGGTTAAAAGCTATCTTCCTGAACCTATCAATTCTCACGATCAACTGGCAATGCCAGCTTTTGTAATTTACAATAAATCATAGGCAGGTCTTGAGAATTATCCACCTCATTCATTAGCAGGCGGGGCCAGGCCTCATTACTTTATTTGTCCAGATACCGAGGTTGGGCTACGGGGGCTACATACAGTTAGCTCAACCCCCAATGCAATCAGCTCGTAAAACCCAAACCGATTCACTTTCTCACTCACTCTTAAAAACATTCTTTTTTATTTACATACCATTTACTCAGTTAATGTGGTGGAGTACTTGATATTTCACCACAACTATGTATAACTAACCTAATTAAGTGTCAACAGGGTACTCAAAATTCTGCAATTGGTCCTCTCACACTACATATTTACATCAATAAATATATTCACTATCAACACACACTAGGTTGACAGTTCACACACAAAAAACTATGAGCACTTTATACATTAAAATAACCCTCTTTCTTTCAAGAATCGAAACACAGAACTCTAATAATCACTGTCCTGCTGGACAAGAATTACTAATTACTGAAGAGTTGGCTTTTATCCTGACCATTATGTCATAAAATAATTGTAATGACGTTTCATTAACGTATGATAAGCCTGGTTATTTTTTACCTAGCTGATCATATAACCCGGTTGTATGTGAACATCTGCAAATCGTTCTACAAGGTTGAAATAATGGCAAATAAAAACAGTTGTAACATATAATAACTTAGCTAAAAACTTCCTAAGCATTTGGGACATAGTTATATTGGAAAAAAAATGTTATTTGTTAGTTAATTCATCAGAATTTGGAAGGTTAGTAGTTTATTAATGCTTGCAAATCTTTATTTTTTAGGTGCAAGAAGCGTTCGTTGGTTATATATTTCAAACCTGTTTGACTTTTTTTTTCAGTTTTGTTCTAAAGTTTATAAATGGATCCAAATAAGAATAAACATGGACCTTTCAAACCATGGGAATTATTTGGCATTCAGAAAAAGTTTGGCTGTATCATTGGCCTTCTTAAATAGAGATTTTATGGTGTTAGTTAATGTGACCTGATCAGAAATAAATTGACTGAATAATTATAAACAAAGTTGATGGTAATAAAATGTTGGCCCACGCAGGTGCCCCTTATGCAGAGAAAGGTTGCTCGACGTTCCACATAATAGAGACGTGTCATGCCTTGGCTACATACAGAAAGTGTGTAGGCTTGCTGTCAGTCTTAAGAAGAGTTCTCGAACACGGTAGCGAGTTTCAGAGTCCCCTGTTCCGCTTTTTAGGGGAAATTGGGTTTTTTTATTCTATATAATATGTCATGTGTTGTGTGTCTATATGTTTTGTCTGAGTACATGTATTTATTAGCATGAATGGCGAGGGGAGAGGGTGAAATATAACGTCATCATCGCCCCTCGAGCATTGAGAGGGTATGAGTGTTCGGGGTCGATGGGAATATTTATAAAAATGCTCCATCGACCCCAATCAATTAGTTTGAGTATAGGTCCATGGAGGAATATCAAGTACTCCACCGACCAAACGGACATGTACACAATGAGTGTACTGTATGGGTGTAGTTATGTGTATGAATGTATTTATTTGTATGAATGTAGTATTTGAAAGGTTAAGTAGAATACACACTTAGCTAAAATAACTTAGATGTCGGAAACCCCAGTCAAAAAATAAATAAAATTTAAAAAAATAAAATGTCAGTATTTTTTTAATAAATATTGTTCTGGCATTAACGAAACAGCCAATTAGTAGTTATGTACTGGGGGGGGGGTTCTTGTATGTTTTACAATGTACATATTTTCTATTCAGTTTCATTCGTTAAGGAGAATGCTAATCACAGTCTTTTAAATAAGATAATCTTTGTTGTTTGGGCTTTCTACTAAAACTATGTGCTGGCAGTCTGAAATAGTTGATGAGAAGTGAAGAAACAGCAGGAGGTAAAAAAAATCTTCAAATTTGTTTTTTTGATTTATTAAACTTTAAATATGAATTATAGTATAAAAACAAGAAAAAGAATTGCATTGACACCTTAGACAGAACAAAGAAAGTTCTATACAATGTAAATGTTTTGTTTTTTTATCCATTCATCTTGGACAAAACTGCACCTAATGTCTAACGATGAGCCACAAAATAATATTGAAAATTGTAATTTTGGTAAAAAATAATTGTTTAAATATTTCAACACCATTCTTAAAACAACATTAGCATTTGAGACGGTATCTTCTGTACGAATGCTGATGCAAGACTTGGCTTTTATGACTTAGAATGTGGAAATTCAATTTTGGCACCTTTTTCACTGTTTAGTCTAATCGGTCTATATGATTGCCAAAAAGTTCTGAAACAAAAGAAACCGTAAATTTTTGATCAAGGGGAAAAAATTTTGTTTTTTTGTACTCTGGTAACCGAGATATTCAGCGTTGGCAGCATGGTAGTTGATCGGTACGGTGTCATCATCTCTTGAATTATCTGGGACCACCGGGCCAAGGTAAAGTTCAGGTGAAGGTTGTGGGTGCGACGCCTGCGCCTCCCAGAATTGTTGCGTACTCAGGTAAAACTGGTCTGTGATAAAACAATTAATTAATTTTTTTATTTTTATTTTCATTGAGTTTGCAACATGCTTGGCATCCTCGTTTTGACTACTGCTTTGAAACCGCTGTCGCCGTCTACTTGATAATCGACGGTCCGTATCATTCCTTCTGGATCCAATACACTGTACGCCCCTTTGACAAAGTCACCCCTCCTCTCTTCCCACTTGTCCATCACTGTCCCTGATAATCTATCATCAATGGCATATCTGTAGTTATATTGAACCTAAACAGTAATATTAAAATGTAGTAACAAACAAAGAAAAAAATATTAATATCAATACAAAATACATAAACTATAACCTATATATATATACCTATATATACCTATATAACCTATATAAAAAATTCACTGGAGAAATTGTTCAGCCTTCTCCAAAATCCAGCACAACAGATTAAATTTGAAATTAAATCTTTAATAAAAATATGTAATAATACCGTTTATGAGTTTTGAAAGTATAGGAGTGTACAGCACATATAAACTTGACCTTTAAAAAAATATGCAAATGATTCAATCAAGAATATAAAAAATACAACTATTTAATTTGGTTTTTATATCAATATTACATATTAATTGATTTATTTTATGATAATCTTTTTCACATTTTTTGCATAATTCAATTTTATTCCTCTCTGCTGACTTTTAAGAGCATGGTTCATCGAATTGGCCTTTCTGGGTCATTGAGCATGTTTTCAAACTTAGGGACCAAATTGAATACCATTATTGCATTTAAAAAATAAATCATGTTATTTTTTTTAAATATATAAACGTTGATTAAAGTTGGAATCAGAAATTAAGCCATGAATAGAAAAAAAATCATGAAATGAGAAACAACACGACATTAAAATCTCAAAATACGAACAGTTGGCCAAAATCTCATCACTATTTTACAGAATAACACAACATTAAACAATACTATCATACTAAATAAAATTTGACATAAATTTATCTGAAATTTTTGACACTTGAATACTTTTATACATGTACATACTGCACAAGTTCTTTAAGTTCTTGCTTTGGACTTTTTTAACTAGATTATATTAGCAAAAATAATAAGAAAATACTTGCGATTGATTTCTACAAAACTTTCATCTTACGTTCTTAATTTTCTCACCTGATTTCCATGATTTTCTTCTTGGGGCGAATAGTAGAGCAGTTTGGGCTCGCTTAACGATGTCTGTACAAGTGTTAAAAACACTGAACAAACGACCTAAAAAAAAAAAATTTGCTTGATAAAATTATGTCATTATTTATTATTTTGACTTTTTAACAACTACCCTAGGAAAATTGTCACACGAACAAGTATAATCACAGAATATATAGTTAGAGAGTAAAAATATATTGAGTTAACGCGCAGGTCTGGTTGGAAAAAAAACCAATGGATAGATTGATAAAACAATCAATCTTGGAAAAAAACATTATCGTTAGTTATGACAAAGTATCAAATACTTAAAGAGAAAGCCAGCTGCAAAGAAAAAAGAAAAGTGGCATTTTTCTTACCCTTTGGATGCCAGTGTTTTTGAAAAGAATAAAAAAAAATTGTAAATATGTCAGTTTCAAATGCAGGGCCGCTGGGTTCGAACTCGGGACCTTTTACCTTACAGTGACGATTGCCACTGTAAACATGGAGGCCACCGATGCCACCCCCCAAAATGGCCCTTTGATTGGGCATAATCTCAGAAAGGAAGAGTCACTTCATGAACACAGAACAGAAAAGTTTGCAACACTTAAAAATTAATTACAAAATGGCACAAATTTTAACTGGGCATAGTCATATGAAATAGTACCTCAATAGATTTTACAATGCTCATGTCAGTCATGTGGCAATAATAGTTCTCAAACTTGACAACACATCTGCCAGTATTCAATTATATGATTTTGGAAACATCCTTTGCAACATCCTATAAAGTTTTAACAAACTACAATTGGGAGGAAAAAAACTAGATAGTGTATTATATTCTTTCAAGGTAAAATATATGCTTATGCCAAAGAAAATCTTAAAAGAGGTTATACTGCTTATTAAAACATCCTCCTAAGATTAGACAGCAAATTGGCTCTACAATCATTAGCACATAAAAATTACACATTCAAAATAGTCAGTGAATGCATCCAAATCCTGGTGAAACACAACTACCTAACAAATGTCTGGTGGGGGCTGAAAGGAATTTTGGGTAATGAACAAGCAGACAAACTAGCCAGGTAGATCTATTTAAGGTAAGTCTATTTGTCGGCCCAAAACTACAATTGAGATAGCAGGACCAAACACACTTTAACTTAGAAGGGTGCCAGGCAAAGTAAACTCATGGTTAAAGATAGTACTGTAAGGGATGTATACTGGTCACTGGCCTCTGAGAAAACACCTACACAACATATAAACATATATAGGATATATAAGATAATAGGATCAATTTTTGGATCCAATTTTTGCTATTGGTATAGGCCAACTCATTGATGCTCTGGTGCAAGTGTGCATCTAGATTTGGATTGTAATGATGATAATGGTGAGGATTCAAGGAAGCAGGGGGGGTTTATTTCACTTTTTTTCAGTTCTTCAGTATTAGTAGTATCGACCACTTTTTCACTTACGAACACTCTGGATCAAGGCATGGCCTTGAAGCAAATTTTGTTACTATTGCCAAGCTTTCAACCTATTTTAAGGTTATCATCAGGGTGACATAATCTTAAACGTGTATACAGATTGCCACATTTAAGTTTTTACAGGCAATCTCAAATTTCCTTAAGACCGACGACTGAAGTCGACAAGGACTGACAATGTGTAATTTGTCATTTGACAGTGTTGGTACTTCAAGGAAATTGACATCGTCAGTAAAACCTCTTCAGTAAAAAAATCTTCATATCTTGATCCAGAGTGTTCGTTATTTCACATTTCCTAGTTCCTTAGTTGAGATCAATTGTCTTGGTCCTTCTTTTAAGACTTTTAAGAAGAAGGTCAGTGGCAAATTGCTGCAACTCTATTTCTCAGGTTTTCTTGATACCCTAGGTTATGTCTCCATTGTGGTTGCTTCAAATTTGAAAATAATATGATCGGCATTTTCTTCCTTCCCATTGCATAACATACAAATGGGCCATTGTTTAATATATATATATATTATTTTTTAACGAGGGTTCGCAACAGCAGAGGTTATAACAACCCTCGAGGTGCCGGTGTTTTTGAAAAAAAAAAGCCCATTTGTAAGTATGTCAGTTTCGAATGCAGGGCCGCTGGATTCGAACCCAGGACCTTTAATTAAAAAAAATCCTTTAGTAAAAAATGGAGGACAAGACTGAACGAAGAAAAATGCACTCAGAGTACTTTTACGCTGAAAAAGCAGTCTTGCTCTTCACTGTACATCAACAACAAAGATATACCAGTTTCCACTCAATATATATCTCGACAGCAGACTGATATGGGATCCCCACACAAGACTTAAAAACAGCAACTTAATACAAAACTTGGAATGAAGACTTCTAAGACCGAAATTGAATTTGAGAATTAAGACAAAGCTAACCTTCTACAAGACTTTACTAAGACCAATATGGACCAATGTGGGACACTGCCAAGCCTTCCAATATCCAGCGCATCCTTCCAATCGAAATTCCTTAGACAAATTGCCAGAGCACCGTATTACGTCACTAATCTCACTATCCACAAAGAATCCACTATCTAAATTATCCACTAACCTCAACATCCCTTTTGTCAACGAACTAACCGAGTCCAGATTCCAAACCTTCCACACCAACCTTTCGAACCATCCTAACCATACTGCTCGAGCCCTATCCACTCATTCTCATCCTGACAACCCACCACATCACCTCAACCGACGATGGCCTCAAGACCTTGACCCCTAATCTTACACTCTGAGTCTCAGCAATGGCTGGCTCCTTAAAGCATGTGTTCTACCGGTGCAGTGCTGGTATTTGTGCTAGTCATTAGTTTTATTTTAAATATCTATGTATGTTTGTTTTTATTCTTATATTTTTTAATAATGTTCAGTATTATCTAATAAATTTCCACACAGAAGAGGTAATGTAGGGTGAAAATACAAAAAAACACACACATACAAACAAATATCAATGGATGGGGAAAAAGCCATTGGTTAAATTATGAATCGACCTGATGACCTTTAACAGTTATTCGAGTCAATCCATTTCAATCATTGAGTTGTATGTTGTGCGGTGTACATGTGTGTATGTGTTAGCTGTTTCTGTTTGCACATAGGTTTAGGAAATTGTTTGTGGTGCGTTTTATTATGCATAGACGAAGTTATCGTTCATTACCTATTGCAGTATTGTCTAGTCTATTTTGCAGAAATACCTTGGTACTTCTGAGCCATTTCATTGTTTTAAAGCATGTTTAATGATTACAACTAAATTTGTTATTACCGAGACATTTAATGTAAGGGAATTGTTCATAGTAAATCGCTCTGTTTAAATTCGTCTGTATGACTCCAAAATGAGATGTAAATCCAGCCAAATTACCCTGTTTAAAGGCCGAGAGCAGTACTTAAGTCGCGGTAACATTTAGGGCAATTAAACAAACCCTGTCTTTTGCCCAACGGGGCGGGCTATTCTCTGCTATTTTCTCGTAAATCGGTTGAACAACAGCCAGAACGGACAGCATGGGTCGAAAGAAGGTGTCAAGGCTGTGCAGAAAGTACATGCACGCATTCGAAAGATGAAACTCGCAAGAACGCCCGTTCACCTTCCCGAAGAAGACATTTGAATAAAATGAATCATAGATAATGTGTTTATTTGGAGATTTTAGCCTGGTTCGTTTCGGTCCTAATAATCTGCGACTATTTTCTTTTCCTTTCTTTTTTCAATCAGGAGGCACGTTGCGCAAAAATTAGAACAGCGGCCAAGACGAACAGGCCATGGCTGTAGTTCGTGCAGTTGAAACACGTCAGCCCATTTTAAATTACACTGATAAGACATCTAAGATTTGTATTATCCTTTTAAAAAGAAAACTAACGATTTGATTGCCTCCTTTTGCAAAAGAATTGCACGGGTAAGTCATTTATTTATAGTTTGTACTTCTTTTTCTCGAGGATTTGGCCAATCTTAGTTTGATGATGTACATTTATAAGGATGAAGAGAGAAATTGTGTGAAATCAATTAAAATACAAAAACAATACACTTCGACCTGTTAAATTTATCATTAGAACTCCGAGGTCCGCGAAATCTCGCTCTTCGTCAATTTCTCAATTTGACATTTTTAGTTAATTTCACAGGCGGATCCAAGGGGTGTAAAAGGGGACTTACCCCCTCTATGGAGCCAAGTGAAGATCTTATCTTATATGTAATATGTTTTAGTTTAGTTTAAGTCAAAAAGTCTTATATTTCAGGATTATAAAACCTTGATCACATCTGATAAACCTTCCCTTAATTAAATCCGTTTCCTCTTAACTGGTCTCACTTTGGGTTTGTCGCCCCCGGTTGGATACTTCGATCACTCGATTTGATCAAGAAACCTGTAATTTGATGTTTAAATTTAGGTAGATTTCTTTCAAAAATCTAGAGCTGTCTAGTGGTCGCATTTTTGATCGCATTGCATTGAAATTTGTCAGAATAGTAGAGAATCCTACAAGGACGGTTGGGATTGTTTTTCATCCAAATCGATCTGGGGTCGCAGAGTTATAGGCGATTAAAATAAAAAATTCAATCAAAATTTTTCCCATTTTAAAGTTTTCTCCAGTACAACAACCAGCTCGGTTTAATTTCACTCCCTCCTAGCTAAGCCCCTCATTATTGGATTTTTATATTTTTGGTACTGTTTTTAATCGGATTCTTCTTGTAACTTTGAAGCCCTGTTTGGCTCAAATCCAAGCAGTATTTTAAAAGTTATCATAATTTGAAAAAATCTCATTTTTAATCAGGATTTTTTCCTCAAATACGGCACTTTCAAACCTAATTTCTTTCGTTTAAAAGATCAAATTAAGTTCTTTTTTTTAATAATAAAATGAAACCGTAGGCGTTTCTTAATTTTTTGTTACCAAATATACCAAGATTTCTTATAAATTAACAAAGAAATCACGGTAAAAAGCAAAACCCTCAAAATTGTGTATTACTAAAAAATATGGTGTGGTCATTACAAGTCTTATTCCGTAAATCTTACATTGTTACCAAAAAGTAATAGTGAAATAACACGAAAAAATAATTAATTAAATAGCTTAAATAAAATTTCAAATTAGGCAGTTGACTAGTAAATCA